GGGGGCTCACCCTGAGTCTCAGCAGTTTCCCCCGCAGCCCCTCCAGGGTCCCCAGGATCAGCTCCGTGTCCCCGATGTCCCCTGGGCTGGCCCTGGGGGTGGCCCTGGGGGTGGCCCCGATGGCCCTGGGCGTGGCCCTGTCCCCAGGGGTGTCCCCAGGGGTGTCCCCAATGTCCCCTCCTGGCCGGGGGGGCACCGTGGGGAGGCTCAGGTAGAAAAAATTCCCTGGAAAAGCGACAAGGGGGGACCTCAGTGGCCACCTGGGGGGGCTTGGTGGCCCTGGGGACCCTCTGAGGGCCTTGGTGGCCCCCAGGGGAGTCTTGGTGGCCCCCCCAGGGGTCTTTTGGTGGCCTCACGGGGGTGTTTCTGGTGGCCTTTTTGGGGTCTTTGGTGGCCCCAGAGGATTTTTTGGTGTCCCCTGGGGTTTTTTAGTGGCCCTTTTCTGAGTTTGGTGGCCCCTTTTGAGCTTTGTGGGGCCCTTTTTGAGGTTTTTGAGGCCCTTTTGGGATTTCTGGTTGCCCTTTTGAGGTTTTGGTTGCCCTTTTGTGGGTTTTTTTTTTTGACCCTTCTGGGTTTTTGGGGCCCTTTTGGGTTTTTTTGGGGCCCTTTTGGGTTTTTTTGGGGCCCTTTTGGGGTTTTTTTGGGGTGGGGGAGGGGCGGGTTACCCTCGGCGCTGGCTCCGCCTCCTTCCCGCAGCTCGGGCTCTGATTGGCTGCAGCCGCTCGGGGGCGTGGCCTCCTCAGGCCCCTCCTCCTGGGCTGGGCCCCCCAAAAAAAAGGGGGGGGGGGGGGGGGGAAGGGGGGGGGGAGCGGCCCCGCCACCGGAATGCGGTAATTAGCACCCCAATTAGTTAATTAGCACCTTAATTAGGTCATCAGCACCCCCCAGTTAGCACCCGGAATTAATTGCCACCCGAAATCGGCACCCCGAAGTTAATTAGCGCCCCTAATTAGCACGCAGCAGCCTAAAATCAGCACCCGAAATTAATTAGCACCCCAAAAATCAATTAGCACACCCAATTAGCACCCAGCACCCCAAAGCAGCGCCCGAAATTAATTAGCAGCCGAAATTAGCACCCTAAAATTAATTAGCACCCCCCGAAATCAGCGCCCGGCACCGAATAGCTCCCCAAAATTAGCACCCAAAATTAGCACTCAGAACCCCAAATTAGCACCAGAAATTAATTAGAACCTGAAATTAATTAGCACCCCAAAATCAGCACTCGATTAATTAGCACCTGAAAGCAGCACCCCAAAATTAGCACCCAGAACCCCAAATTAACACCCAAAATCAGCTCCCGAAATTAATTAGCAACCCAAAATCATCAGTCCCCAGAGCCCTTAATTAGGTCCCCAAATTAATTAGCAACCCAAAATTAGCAGCCAGCACCCAAAACTGGGACCCAAAATTAGCACCCAAAAGCAGCACCCCAAAAATTGGCACCCATCACCAGGACCCAAAATCAGCACCCGAAATCAGAATCCCAAAATCAACCCCAAAAATCAACCCCGAAATCAGAATCCCAAAATAAGAATCCCCCAAAATTAACCCCAAAATCAACACCCGAAATCAGAATCCCCAAAATTAACCCCAAAAATTAACCCCAAAAAATCAGAATCCCCAAAATTAACCCCAAAATCAGCAGCCCAAAATTAACCCCCAAAAATCAACACCCCCAAAATCAGAACGCCCAAATCACCCCAAAATCAGCACCCAGGGAACGAGACCCCAAATCCCAGAGGGGATTTCTGGGGGGGAATGAGACCCCAAATCCCAAAAAGGAGCAGGAAATGAGACCCCAAATCCAGAAAGGCCCCCCAGGATCCCAGATCCCAAAGAGCAGCAGGGAATGAGACCCCAAATCCAGGGAATGAGACCCCAAATCCCAGCAGGGATCCCATCAGGCACTGCAGGGAATTCCCACCCCCAAATCCCCCCAATTCCTTCCCCAAATCCCCTCCAATTCCCACCCCAAAATCCCCCCAACTCCTGCCCCAAATCCCCGCCAATTCCCCCAAATCCCCCCCCCCAGTTCCTGCCCCAAATCCCCAATTCCTGTCCCACATCCATCCCAAATCCCACCCCAAATCCCCCCCCAGTTCCCGCCCCAGATCCATCCCAATTCCCACCCCGAATTCCCAGTTCCCCCTTTACCTTTCCGGTTGATTTGGATTCCGCTGGGCTCCGGCCACTCCGGCCCTTCCTGGGATCCCTCCTGGGCGGCCAAATCCCGGCCGGACACCGGGAATTCCCCACTGGATATTGGGAATTCCTCACTGGACACCGGGAATTCCCGGCTGGACACCGAGGATTCCTCACTGGACACTGGGAATTCCTCACTGGACACTGGGAATTCCCGACCGGATATTGGGAATTCCTGAGTGGACATTGGCAAATCCCGGTCGGACATCGGGAATTCCTGACTGGACACTCGGAATTCCTGACTGGGCACCGGGAATTCCTGACTGGATACTGGGAATTCCCCACTGGATACTGGGAATTCCCGACTGGACGTTGCTGAATCCCAACTGGACGTTGGTGAATCCCGGCCGGACATCGGCGAATCCCGACTGGACGTCGGGAATTCCTGACTGGACGTTGGGAATTCCCGGCTGGACATCACCGAATCCTGACTGGACACCACTGAATCCCGGCTGGACATCGGGAATTCCCGAGTGGACATCCCAGAATCCCGACTGGACATCGGCAAATCCCGGCCGGACATCGGGAATTCCCGGCCGGACATCGGGAATTCCCGGCCGGACATCACGGAATCCTGACTGGACGTCACGGAATCCCGGCCGGACGTTGCTGAGTCCTGACTGGACGTTGTTGAATCCCGGCTGGACATCGGGAATTCCTCACTGGACATCGGGAATTCCCAGCTGGACATCGGGAATTCCCGAGTGGACACTGCTGAATCCCGACTGGACAATGGCAAATCCTGACTGGACACTGGGAATTCCCGACTGGGCATTGGCAAATCTCGGCTGGACACTGGGAATTCCCGACTGGGCATTGGCAAATCTCGGCTGGACACTGGGAATTCCCGACTGGACATTGCTGAATCCCGACTGGACATTGGCAAATCCCGGCTGGAGAGCACCGAATTCCAACTGAACGTTGGAAAATCCCGGCTGGCCATCCCAGAATCCCGACTGGACATTGGGAATTCCCGGCTGGACATCAGAGAATCCCGACTGGACACTGGGAATTCCCGACTGGACACTGGGAATTCCCGGCTGGACATCCCAGAATCCCGACTGGACACTGGGAATTCCCGGCCGGACACTGGGAATTCCCGGCCGGACATCCCAGAATTCCAGGCCTGTCCGGAAGCTGCTCCGGCCACCGAGGGCGTGGGGGTGACGTCATCCTCGGGCTCGGGGTCCCGGCCCGGCCGGAGCCTCCGGACAATCAGGAGCCGCAGGGTCTCCACTGGGATCGGGGTGGGAAAAACCGGGATTTGGGATTTATCCCAAAGAAAGGTCCTGGGACTGGGGAACAGAGGGAGGGGAGAGGGGATCTGGGATTTTCCTGAGGGAATTGACGGAGGAAAATGGGGGAATTTGGGATTTTCCCGAGGGAATAAAGAAGGAAAATGAGGAATTTGTGATTTTCCTGAGGGAACAAAGGGAGGAAATTGAGGAATTTGGGGTTTTCCCGAAGGAATAAGGGATGGAAATCAGGAATTTGGGGTTTTCCCGAGGGAATAAGGGATGGAAATCAGGAATTTGGGGTTTTCCCGAGGGATCCTCACCGTCCTCCAGTGCAGCCTCGGCCACTCCGGCGCCTCCCGGGGGTTTTGGGAGCCCCGGGCTGGGGGAGGGGTCGGGGTCCCGAGGGGAATTTTTGGGCTCGGGGTCCCCAATCCCCTCCCCCCCCGGCTCCTGCGGCAGCTCCGGCGGGGGGGGGGCCCTGCCCGAGGGCTCGGGGTCACTGCCAGCTGTGGACACAGGGGACACTGGGGACACTGGGGGATATTGGGGACACAGGGGATAGTGGGGACATTGGGGACACAGGGGACATTGGGGGACACAGGGGACAGTGGGGACACAGGGGACAGTGGGGACACAGGGGGATATTGGGGACACAGGGGACACAGGGGACACTGGGGGATATTGGGGACACAGGGGACAGTGGGGACACAGGGGACAGTGGGGACATTGGGGACAGTGAGGACAGGGATGAGACAGAGATGGGGACAGGGACACAGTGGCCTTGGGGACACAGCAGGGACAGGGATGAGGATGGGACAGGAGGGCACAGGGACAGTGGGTGACAGCAGCCATACCTGAGGAACAATCCTCGGGCTCAGCCTCGGATCCTCGGGCCAGCCCTGGGGACACGGCGGGCTCTGACAGCCCCAGCCTGCCAGGGGAATTCCCATTACTCCCATTCCCATCATTGCCATTGCATTCCCCTTTAATCCCATTCCCATTATTCCCATCATTCCCATTCCCATTATTCCCATTACTCCCATTCCCATTCTCCCCATCATTCCCATTCCCATTATTCTCATAATTCCCATTCCCATTATTCCCACCATTCCCATTATTCTATTTCCCCCATTATCCACATTATTCACATTTCCCCCATTATTCCCATTCCCAGTATCCCCACCATTCCCATTTCCCCCATTATTCCCATTCCCATTTCCCCCACTATTCCCCCAGTCCCCCCATCCCCACCCGGATCCCGAGCTCCCGCTGGCCTCGCTCTGGTGCCGTTTTGGTGGCCCAGGGACGCTCCTGGTGGCCCCCTGGACCGCCTGCTCCAGCAGCTCCATCCACCTGTGAAATTCCAGAGGCGATTCCCAGGGATTCTGTCACCCCAGGCAGCAATTCCAGCCCTCCCCAGGGAATTTCTGGGCTCATTCCCAAGGATTTTTGTCCCCCACCAGGGAATTTCCTGGCTCATTCCAAAGAATTTTTGTCCCCCCCAGGGAATTTTCCGGCTCATCCCAAGGATTTCTGTCATGCCCAGGCAATTTTCCAGCCCTTCCCAGGGAATTTTTGGGCTCCATCCCAGGGAATTTTCCAGCCCTTCCCAGGGAATTTTTGGGCTCCATCCCAGGGGATTTTCCAGCCCTTCCCAGGGAATTTTTGGGCTCCATCCCAGGGGATTTTCCAGCCCTTCCCAGGGATTTTTCCCGGGATTTCCCTCACGTGTTCTTCTCCGAGGATGTCAGTGCCACCAGCTCGTAGATTTGGGGTCCCAGCTCCGAGGTGCAGATGATGAACAGGGCCCGCTTGTCTGGGGGGACAGCAGCATTTTCCCAAAAAAAATCCCAAAATTCCCACCCCTAGAACTCACAAAAATCCCGGAATTCCAGGATTTCCCTGCCCACCTGTGGCCAAGGAGCACACGAGCACCGAGGTGAGCTGGAGCATTGGGCTGAACGCCCATTTTTCAATTAAAAACCCAAATTTTCCATTAAAAACCCCATTTTTCCACACAAATACCCCATTTTCCCACAAAAAACCCCCCACTTTTCCCACAGAAAATTCCTGGAATTCCCGAAATTCCCAGATTTCCCACCTGTAGCCACGGGGTGCATGAGCAGTGAGCTGAGCTGAACCCCCATTCCCACACACCATTTTCCCCCCAAAAACCCCATTTATTCCCAAAAAAACCCCATTTCACCACAGAAAACCCCCACTTTTCCCACAAAAGCCCTCACTCTTCCCTCAGAAAATTCCCAAAATTCCCGGATTTCCCACCTGTGGCCACGGAGCGCACGAGCAGCGAGCTCAGTATGAGCACGGGGCTGAACCCCCATTTTCCTTCCAAAAATCCCCATTTTTCCACAGAAAAAACCCATTTTTCCACAGAAAACCCCCATTTTTCCCACAGAAACCCCCACTTTTCCCACAGAAAATCCAGGGATTTCCCACCTGTGGCCACAGATCTGACGAGCACCGAGCTCAGTTTGAGCACCGGGCCGAGCCCCCATTTTCCCGCCAAAACCCCTCCTTTTTCCACAGGAAAAAAAAAAACATTTTCCCCACAAAAAAAACCCCACTTTTCCCACGGAAAATTCCCGAATTTCCCACCTGTGGCCACGGATCTGACGAGCAGCGAGCTCAGTTTGAGCACGGGGCTGAAGCTCTGCTTGGTGTCCGAGGAGGCTCCCAGCGCTCCCTTGCTGTGACATTTGAGCACCAGGCGCTCGTCCTGGCGCTGCAGCAGCACCAGCAGCTCCTCCAGCAGCAGCACGTGCAGCTCTGATTTTTTGGGGATTTTTTTTTTGAGGATTTTTTGGGTTTTTGGGGGGATTTTTAAGGGATTTTTAAGGGATTTATTTGGGATTTTTTGAAACTTTTGGGGGATTTTTCATGTTTTTTCCCTCCCAGTCCGTACCCACACTCTTGTCCTTGCCCACTCTCCAGGTCAGGGGCCCCTCGTGGATCATCCGGTGCGAGGTCAGGTCCAGGTTCTGTGGGGACAAAATCCATGGGAAACCTCCCAGAAATCCATGGAAAAACACCCCCAAAATCCATGGAAAAACACCCCAAAATCCATGGGAAAACACCCCAAAATCCATGGGAAACCTCCCAGAAATCCATGGAAAAACACCCCCAAAATCCATGGGAAAACACCCCAAAATCCATGGGAAACACTCTTAAAATCATGGAAAAATGGGAGTTTCCCATGGAAAAATTGGAAGTTTTTAATGGAAAAACTGAGGTTTTAGATGGAAAAACTGAAGTTTTTCACAGAAAAAATGGGGGTTTTTAACGGAAAAATCGAGTTTTTTCCCGGAAAAACGGAGTTTTCTCCTGGAATAACGAGGGAGTGGCCCGGAAACCCGATGGCAGGTGGGGCGCGGTGCCGGGGAAGGGAATACCCGGAATTCCGCAGCCAGGGGGTTGCTGCTCCTCTCCAGGGCCGCCGTGTCCAGGCGCCGCTGCAGCTCCTGCAGCCGCTGCCGGTTCTCAGCGCCGCGCACGGCGTCGTTCACGAAACGCAGCACGTCCCTGCACTGCTCCCGGGCCCTGCACAGCTTCTGCTGCTCCAGGGAACCCGCTGGGGATAATGGGGAAA